TCAGCCTTCCAAGTAGCTGGAACTACAGGCGCGTGCTACCACGCCTGGCTAATTTTTTTATTTATTGTAGAGATGAGGTCTCGGCAAGTTGCCTAGCTGTTAAAGGAGTCAGGGTTACAAAGGCAATGTTAGGAAAAGCAGAACAGGCAAGTTTTGGGCAAAGATGAAGTAGATGAGATTTTTTTTTAACCAGTTGGAACAGCTAAAATGTACCGAATGATTACAACGTGCCAGGTAACTTACATTGTTATTGTTGTAAGTGCTTTATATAATTAATCTTCACAACTGTAGGAAGGAAGGGTCTACTACTATCATTCTCGGTGGATGAAGAAACTAAAGCACAAACAGGCAACTTGTCCAAGGTCACAAAGCTAGTTAGTATCTGAACCAGTGTCTAAAATTAGGGCAACCTGGCTCCAGAGTCCAAATCTTAGCTATGCTATACTACAGTGTATGTTGACATATATATGTGTGTGTAAATCTGCCTCGCTCACAGAAATTATGACTCCTGAAAGGATGCAAAAGGAAGTAAGTTACATCAAGACAGAAAAGCAAAAGAAACAAGGACCAAACAAGCAGGAGATCCTTCCCATCATTCTACTCTAGTTGTCTCATTCTCTCACATCCTCAGTTTCCTTTTCTTCTCTCCATCCTTTTTCTTCTTTTTATTTCCTCTGAACTGCCTATAATATGAAGGATGAAGTATATTTTTTGTCACATGTTTTTTGCTCTAATTTTTAAGGTAGGTGGGCTGAATTCAACAAACATTTATCGACTATATGTCTGAAATTGTACTAAGCATAACAGATATATTGAGGAAAAAAACCAATTCATTAAGGAGTTTACCTTAGATGATTATTAAAACAAAAAAACGCTGGGCACAGTGGGTCACACCTGTAATCCCAGCACTTTGATAGGCCAAATTGGGAGGATTGATTGAGCCCAGAAGTTCTCAAGCCTGGGCAACATAATGAGACCTCATCTCAAAAAAAGAAAGAAAGAAAATCCTAAATAATTACTCTTCATATGTATGTCTCCTTTGATCTGTTTTTCTTTTTTCTTTTTCTTTTTTAACTAGAGACAGAGTCTCACTTTGTTGCCCAGGCTAGACTTGAACTCCTGAGCTCATCCCACCTTGGCCTCCTGAGTAGCTGGGACAACAGGTGTAAGCAACAGAATCCTGCTTTCTTTGATTTCAATTGCCTCCAAGTCAATAGGTTAAAAAAAAAAAAAAAAAGATTATCTCCCCTATCCAATCTAGTTACCCAATCATCAATTCCTGTTTGTTCCAGTTTCTATTTTTTTTAAGAGTTGGAGTCTCACTGTCGCCCAGGCTGGAGTGCAATGGCTTGCTCACAGGCATCACAGCCTTGACCTGCTGGGCTCAGGCGATCCTTCTGCCTCAGGTTTCCAAGTAGCTGGAACCACAGGCGTGCATTACCACACCCAGCTAATTTTTTTATTGTAGAGACAAGGTCTCACCAAGTTGCCCAGGCTGGTCTCGACCCCTGAGTTCAGGCAATCCTCTTGCCTCGGCCTCCCAAAGTGCTGGGATTGAGCCACCACAACCGGCTGTTCTAGTTTCTAAATAGCTTCTAAATCCAATTGCCTCTCTCCATTCCTTCTGCCAATACTTTAGTTTAGGTTGTCATTCCCAGGACTGGATTATTTCAATACCCTTCTAGCTGGTGTCCCTAACTCTAGCTTCTTATTATTTTTATTTATTTATTTTTTGAGTCAGGTTCTCTATTGCCCAGGCTAGAGTACAGTGGTATGGATCATGGCTCATGGAGCCTCAAACTCCTGGGCTCAGGCAGTCCTTCCGCTTCAGCCTCCCAAGTAACTGAGATTACAGCTGTGCACCACCATGCCCACCATATTTTTTTATTTTTGTAGAGACAGGGTCATACTATGTTGCCTAGCCTGGACTCAACCAATCCTCCTGCCTCAGCATCCCAAAGTGCTCGGAATACAGGTGTGAGCTATCGAGCTCGGCCCCCTACTTCTAGTCTTGCCGTTTTTCTAATCCTCTCAGCACACTGTGTCCAGTCATCCTTTTTTTAATTTTTAAATTAATTATTTTTTTAGAGGAAGGGTCTCACTATGTTGCTGGGGCTGAACTCAAACTCTTGTAATCAAGCAATCCTTCTGCCACAGCCTCTGAAATAGCTGAGACTACAGGCATGCCACCAGCTCCAGTCATCATTCTAAAATAAAAATCCGACCACTATCATTGCCCTCTGATTAAAATCCTTCAGAGGAGTCCTACTGCCTTAACAATGAAATTCAAACTTTAAGAAAGGCATAAAAGGCTCTTGATGATCTGACCCGTTTGTACATTCCTACCTCCCACACCATGCTTCAAGCAAACTGAGCTATTTCCAGCACAATGTCTGCTGCACACTTTGATGCCTCTGTACTGTGATGCCCTTTCCAAGTCAGCCGTACTCTCCCTTCTTAAATTATTTTGCTCCTTCCCATCCTTCAACCATCATCTTCTCCAAAGAGTCTTTCCTAATAATCTCAGACTGGATTAGATAACTTTCTGATGTATTCCCTTAGCGTCCTGGGTTTATCTCATTCAGAACACTCAATTCCCCCGAATTATAGTTGTTTCTCATTGGTATTCATCAACAGGAAATTAGGGTAGGTACCGCAACACAAAGCACAGTACCTGGCACACAGAGGATGCCAAAGAGATGTTTTATGAATACTGGAGTTCTCTCAACATAATGAACTTTATAGTTTATTTATAATGCTCTGATACTGAAAAGATCATTTGTTATTTTTTTTTTTTCTTTTGAGTTGGAGTCTCACTCAGTCGCCCAGACTGGAGTGCAGTGGCCGCTCCCGGCCACCGCAGCCTTGCCTGCTGGGCTCCAGCGATCCTTGCGCCTCAGCCTTCCGAGTAGCCGGAATTACAGGCATGCACTACCACGCCCGGCTGATTTTTTGATTTATTGTAGAGATGAGGTCTTGCTGCCCAGGCGGGTCTCGAACCCACGGGCTCAGGCAATCCACTCAACTCAGCCTCCCAAAGGCACGGGATTACAGGCTGAGCCACCGAGCCCGGCTAAGATCATTTGTTTCTATGTTTATCTGTGCTCCCACAGGACTTGCTACATTTTTTGCAAATGCTTATTTCCCATACTAGATCATAACTTCCTCATGAGCTGGAAATATTTTTGAATGACTGATGAATTAAAATTCCATCAGTTTATTAATAACCCTAACCTAAAAGGGTACAAATATATGATCTCAATGTAATGTGACCAAGATCCAAGTCAGGTATCTATCTTCCTTTCATCTCTAGGAAACCTGGGCTTTTAATTACAACCAACCAAACTTACTTTTATCCGAGAATGGTCATTCATCTGTCTATGTCAACTGATTATCAGGTCACACAGTGTGACCAAGCATATAGGGCCATGGTTCTAAACCAAGAGTGATTCTGACCCCCCACAGGACATTTGAAAATGTCTAGAGACACTTTTAGTTGTCACAACTGGGGAGAGGGGATACTCATGACACCTACAATGCACAGAACAACCCCCAATGAAAGAAATTATCCAGCTCAAAATGTCAGTGGTGCTGAAATTGAGACATCGTGATATAGGAAAACAGACTCATCTCTTTTCATAGGTCTGAAAAATCTTTTTTTTTTTTTGCTTTTTTGAGTTGGAGTCTTACTCTGTTGCCCAGGCTGGAGTGCAGTGGCACACTCATGGACCACAGCCTCGACCTGCTGAGCTCAGATGATCCTTCCACCGCAGCCTTCCTAGTAGCTAGAACTACAGCATGTACCACCACGCCCAGCTAATTTTTTGATTTATTGTAGAGAAGAGGTCTCGCCAAGTTGCCCGGGCTGGTCTTGAAACCATGGACTCAGGCAATCCTCTCACCCTGGCCTCCCAAAGAGATGGGATTATAGGCTTGAGCCACCGCGCCCAGTCTACATTTTTAGTATTTGCACAGAAAAATTTTCTGGAATCATGTTCACCAAACAATCATTGGGATGGGAAATAAACTTTCACATTCTATTCTGCTGGCACTTTAGTATTATTAATTTTTTTTTTTGAGTGGGAGTCTCACTCTGTCGTCCAAGCTAGAGTGCAGTGGCACACTCACAGCTATCTCAGCGTCAACCTGCTGGGCTCCAGCAATCCTTCTACCTCAGTCTTCCAAGTAGCTGGAACTACAGGCGTGCGCTACCATACCCGGCTAATTTATTCAATTATTGTAGAGATGAGGTCTCGCCAAGTTGCCTGGGCTGGTCTTGACCCACAAGCTCAGGCAATCCACTGGCCTCAGCCTCCTAAAGTGCTGGGATTACAGGCTGAGCCACCAAGCAGAGCTAATATTATTAATTTTACATCTGTGTTACTCATAACAAAGATAAATCTGAAAAGAAAAAATGTAGTTTACTCTTACCAATTACACAGCATGTTTCTACACGATATTTATCAATCTCACAGAGGTTATGAGCCAGATAACTCAACTCAGATTTCATGCTCTGGAAGAAAAGAAAAAGATAGTCTAAGCATGAAAAAGAAACTTTTTTTTTTTTTTGAGTTGGAGTCTCACTCTTTCGCTCAGACTGGAGTGCAGTGGCTGCTCCCGGCCACCGTAGTCTCGACCTGTTGGGCTCCGGCAATCCTTCCACCTCAGCCTTCCAAGTAGCTGGAACCACAGGCGTGCGCTATCACGCCTGGCTAATTTTTGATTTATTGTAGAGATGAGGTCTCGCCAAGTTGCCCACGTGGGTCTTGAACCCGCAGGCTCAGGCAATCCACTCACCTCAGCCTCCCAAAGGCGCAGGATAACAGGCTGAGCCACCGAGCCCAGCTGAAAAAGAAACTTTAAATTATTTTTCTGTAGCTCATGTAACTGGGTGACAATCCAACCCAGGAGATTATTGCACAAAAGAGCTTTTTTTTTTTTTTTTTAGGAGTAGGAGTCTCACTCTGTTGCCCAGGCTGGAGTGCAGTGGCATGCTCACAGCCACCAGCCTCAACCTGCTGGGCTCAGGTGATCCTTCCGCCTCAGTCTTCCCAGTAGCTGGAACTATAGGCATGTACCACCATGCCAGGCTAGTTTTGTGATTTATTGTAGAGATGAGGTCTCGCCAAGTTGCCCAGGCTGGTCTCAAACCAGTGGGCTCAGGCAGTCCTCTCACCTCGACCTCCCAAAGTGCTGGGATTATAGGTGTGAGCCACTGTGCCCAGTCCAAAAGAGCTTATTAATCAAGCCCAAACAAGAAAAGTAGCTCACCCTGACATAAAGAAGGTTAGAGAATGTGTCCATATTTTCAATCCTGTAGGGGTCTTGTTTCCTTAGCTCATTAAAAATGGAGAGGGCTTTGTCAATATCTGCAGAAAGAAGACAGGGAGTTCAGAAAACAACATAGTACGCCTCTCAGGGTCTGATGGCATTTCATTGTCCTTATTCACTCACCTCTGATATTGTGATAGGCCACAGCAATTTGGGAAACAATATATGAGCTCTTAGAGAAGCCCACATCAATGAGATTCTGATACTTTTGCAGAGCCTCCTCTATTAACTGCAACTCTGTGTATATATGAGCCAGAAAAAACTCTTTCATCCAGGTGTCTGGCAAAGACAGGAACTTCAGCTGGCAGCAGGAGAGAGAGGGACACATTTAATATAATTTGATCTCCCAAACAAACATTCAGGAATTATCTTTATTGTCTAAAGGAATTTATCAGTAAATTTTTATTACAGCATCTAATAATGAACACAGGGCAGTCCAATTAAGTGAATATGACTTTTAAGCACAATAGGGAGGAATAGCCTAGTTGGGAAAGCCTTCAAAGAAAAATATTGGATTTGAGATTAAGTCTTAAGGGATAGGTAGGATTTGAATAGAAAAAAGAGAGGAAGAAAAAGACTATTCTAGGGAGGGCAACAACATAAGTTGAGGCAAAACAGTCAAGAAGAGCATGGATGAGTAGAATGAGGAAACTTGCTTGGATTGAGGAGAAGCTAGGTACTTGGATGCAGTGGGAAAAAAAGACTGAACTAATAGGGTAGTTCCTACAGCACAACAGAAAACGGGATGCAATACTACTACAAGTTTTTAGCAAGAGAATGACATGATGACAAATGTGCTGTAAGAGTGAGTTTGGAAACATGCATAATGGCTTAGAAAGAAAGTATAAAAAAATGAGAACACTAGATAGAAGGTACCTATTTTATAAGTAATCCAAATTTGAGATGATAACTGAGATGCCAAAGAAAACCAAGAGAAAAAGATGTGTACAAGAAAGCAACCACGGCAATGTCTTGTGACTAACTAGATAAAGGGAGAGAATAAGAGAAAGAGAAAAGACAAATAGGACTCTGAGGTGTCAATCAAGGCTAGGGAGTCTTTTTTTTTGAGTTGGAGTCTCACTCTGTCACCCAGACTGGAGTACAGTGGCTGCTCCCGGCCACCGCAGCCTCGACCTGCTGAACTCCAGCGATCTTCCCACCTCAGCCTTCCAAGTAGCCAGAATTACAGGCATGCGCTACCACGCCCGGCTGATTTTTTGATTTATTGTAGAGATGAGGTCTCGCCAAGTTGCCCAGGCAGGTCTTGAACCCGCGGGCTCAGGCATTTCACTCACCTCAGCATCCCAAGGCGCGGGATTACAGGCTGAGCCACCGAGCGGGCATGGCTAGGGAGTCTTTAGAAATAGTGATGCTTCCGGGCTTGGTGGCTCAGCTTGTAATCCTGCGCCTTTGGGAGGCTGAAGTGAGTGAACTGCCTGAGCCCGCGGGTTCGAGACCCGCCTGGGCAGCGAGACCTCATCTCTACAATAAATCAAAAAATCAGCCGGGTGTGGTAGCGCGCGCCTGTAATTCCAGCTACACGGAAGGCTGAGGTGGAAGGATCGCTGGAGCCCAGCAGGTCAAGGCTGCGGTGGCCGGGAGCGGCCACTGCACTCCAGTCTGGGCGACAGAGTGAGACTCCAACTCAAAAAAAAAAAAAAGACAGAAATAGTGATGCTAGTGAGAGTCTATCAAGTTGGGAAGAATAAAGAGAATTTGGTAGACAAGATGAGAAATTTGGTTTTGCATATTTTGAGTCGAGAGATAAACTTTCAGTGAAAGTCTAGAAGGCAGTTAGAGATAGGTAAATATAAATAGAGAAAGATAAGATTTCAGACACAGATTTAGCGGCACAGTCATTATTGGGGGAAAATCAACCAGCCTTTGGCTTTTTAGAACTAACAAAAGGAAGTGTGTTGTTGCCTCCGTTAACTACTGAAAAACAGCAAAATAAATACTCTGGACAATGTCCCCTAATAATGACTAATAAAATCACTGCAGTTTATTTTAAAAATTTATATGCATTATTTCCTTAATAAAAAAATCTCTAAGGTTTTTTGTTTTTTGAGTCACAGCCTAACTCTGCTGCCCAGGCTGGAATACAGTGGTACACTCACAGCTACCACAGCCTCAGCCTGTGCCACAATACCCAGCTAATTTTTTAATTTATTATAGAGATGCAATCTTGCCAAGTTGCTCAAGCTGGTCTCAAACCCCTGGGCTCAGGCAATCCTCTCATCTCCACCTCTTTAAGTGCTAGGATTACAGGCATGAACCACTACACCCAGCCAAATCTCTAAGTCTTTACAGAATCCATGACAACTCAGAAGAGCCCTGAACAATGTTTTAATATAACCCTTGATATCAGAGGAACCTTCCCTATAGCATGTTTGGAATTAGAGGAGAAACTATAATAACATTTAGTCTATAAAACAAGTTCCAGTAAAACCTGAATATCAAAACATAAATATGAAGTAATATTCTAATATAACCAGATGTAAATCTAACAGCAACTACCAAACAAGAGCGTCATTCATCTTTCAAATGAAGACCTAAATTCTGAAGCAGTAAAAAGAGACTAGAAGTGCAGCAAAGCGAGGGCTATACCGAAGGTCTGGCAAAACTCTTCCCTCACCCCTACATTAGTACAGAATTACATAAGGCTTGAAGCAGATAGTTTTAGTAGCTCATCTCAATTTACCATCTCTTTGTCTGTGATCAGGTTACACAGTTCTAACCAGGCTCCCCAGTGCAAGGGCAAAACATGAGTAGCCTCCACAAACACATCAATCGCCTCTTTTACCAAGTCCAGTTTTCGAAGCACCACACCATAACTGGGAAAAAAGGAAACAATCACAGGAACAGTTAATGCTTTATGACATCTCTCTTCTACTAAGGAGAATATGTCAGAGAAATTTCCAAATTATTCTAACACTTACAGATAAAGGCCAAATCCATCAAGTTCCCGAGCTTGGTGTTTTTTGCTGAGCTCCACTCTCAGTTCTCTGAGAGCCTCATTTTTCACTTGTCCTTTCTCCAGGGGGCCTAGGAAAGAAACAAAGTCTCTGACCTAAGGGTAGGATGTTAGTTTTCATTTCCATAAACATAGATATTCCCTTTAGCATCAACCAAAGTTACACCTGAAATCTCCCCCAAACACAAGTCACCCATGATATCTTACACAATCCATTAACTTCATTCCAGAAATTGCAACTGATAATGGGTCTATAGTCATATTATGTTAGGTCCACACAGTTCTTTTTTAAATTCTGAATTAGCTATGAATGTTTAAAAATAAGAAACCTCAACTGAAAATCTGAATTTCCAACTTCAGCTTGCAGGGAACAGGGAAGGGCCAAGGAAAGAAAGTCTTACATCAGGTCTAGAATCCCCCAAGGTAGATTACTCCTTAGTCAAAGCTTGGTAACAACCACTCAACTGAGATTAAGCCATGTGCTTTCCAATTTGCAACAGTCAGTCCATTTATATTATCTGCTTGGCTCCTGCAGGCATTTAAGTTCACAACCCTGCTTTTTAGGTTAAAAGGTAAAATTAAAAAATTCATACCTAAACTATCAACTGTTTCGTCATCCTTCTTTTTTTCTCCAGACTGTAAAAGAAAATCAACAAATAGGTCTTTTTTCAATTTGTCCTAAAACTAGCAGCCCAATTCTACCTAAAGGGCCAAGTCCAACCAAAATGGCATCTACTTTTGGTCACTAATATTAAACAACATTTCAGGGGTTCCCACTGGCCAAATCTGGGATCATCTGAGCACCAAAGGGCAGTAATAAATTATAAATAATTAAAAATATAAGAATCCATGAGTCCATGCTGACACTAAAAAAATAAATAAATGGGAAAAGAGAAGGCTCTTGCTTAAAGTACAATGCCAAGTGTTGAGTAATAAATGTAAAAAGAGTACCACAGCAGAAAATCCACATTATGCAATATTATAGCAGAGTGCCTCAGATAAAAAATTAACAATGGATATTAAATTTAGAGGAAATTTTTTAATGAGGAGCAGGATATTTGCATGGCCTTAAAGTGTATCCCCACAGATTGCTGATAAGTTGCAAGAGAAATAAAAGTAACTACTCAGTGCAGAAAATAGACATCTTGACTAAGTGATCTACAAGCAGTGAGGGGCTTATAGACACTGTATAACACCAGATGCAATGCCCTTTGAAGATATATCAGACATATCCAAAATGAGGAACATCCTATTTAAAAAAAGAAAAAGGGGTCAAAACCCATAGAATGTACAACACAAAAAGTAAAACCTAAAGTCAACTGTGGACTTTTGTTGATAATGATGTTTCAGTGATACTTTATTGGTTATAACAAATACATCACCCAGATGCAAGATACTACTAATGGGAGAAGCTGTGTGGGAAGGGGAAAAGGGGCATATGGGAACGCCTACAGTTTATGCTCAATTTTGCTGTAAACCAAAAACTGCCCTGAAAAACAGTCTATTAATTTAAGAGAAGAAAAAGTGGAGGGAGAACCATAAACTCCAAAAAACGTCAATGTCATAAAAGACAAATAAAGTCTGATCCAGATTAGAGGAGATTAAAGAGACAGGACAATTTATTGTAATTCCTGATCCTACAGGAAATGAGAGGGAAATACTATAGAAGACATTGTTGGGTCAATTGGCAAGACTGGAATTCACTGGTAAATTAAAGTGTGGTATCAATGTTAAATTTACTGAAGTTGATAACTATATTGTAGTTATTTAAGCAAAATATCCATATTATAGAGATATACATTGAAAATTTTAGGGATAAAGCATGATAATATCTGCAATCAACTCTCAAATGGTTCAGAGAAAAAAACTGTATGTGTGCATGTGTGTGGAATGAAAGAAAAAAAGAGAGACATGATAAAGAAAATAGGATAATATACTCACAATAGGTGAATCTGAATAAAGGATACATAGGTCTTTTATTGTACTAGTCTTTTTTTTCCTTTTCTTTCTTAACTTTTTGTAGCAAGGGTGTCTCACTATGGTTCCCAAGCTGGTCTTGAACTCCTGAGCTCAAGCAATCCTCCCACCCTGGCCTCCCAAAGTGCTAAGATTACAGGCATGAGCCTCTTTGTACTATTCTTCTTGTGGCTTTTCTGTCAGTTTGAAATTATGTTCAAATAAAAAGTTAAAATATTTAGGTTTCACTTTTTCTTTTTCTGCATTTTAAACATAAGCCCTAACGAACTGTTTCCCTCTCAAACCTCAGTAAATGCTGCTTTTTTTTTTCCACTGTGGTCTAAGGTGCATGGCAGTATAATCTTATTCTACCATAATTTGTCTAAATAGTGCTTCTACACAGGTATAAACTAAATGTAAAAGATTAACATTTTAGCTGGGTGTGGTAGCTCGCGCCTGTAATCCCAGAACTTTGGGAGATGGAGGCAAGAGGACTGCCTGAGCCCAGGGGTTCAAGACCAGCCTGGGCAACTAGGTGAGATCTCATCTCTACAGTAAATCAAAAAATTAGCCAGGCATGGTGGTGCACACCTATAGTTCAAGCTACTTGGAAGGCTGAGATGAAAGGACCTGAGCCCAGAAGGTCGAAGCTGTGGTAGCTGTGAACATGGCATTGCAATCCAGCCTGGGTGACAGAGTAAGACTCTGACACACACACACAAAAAGGAGTAATGTTTTAAATCTCAAAATCTCGTAACTTCAGAATATCATTCTTAAGCTCATGGGGGATAAATAAAATATGATTATTTATTAATAAAATATTATTTTTAAAAAGGAAGGAAACTCTCATATATGCTACACCATGTATGAACCTTGAGGACATTATGCTAAGTGAAATAAGCCAGTCACCGAAAGACAAATGCCAGGTGTGGTGACTCAAGTCTATAATCCCAGCACTTTGGGAGGCCAAGGTGAGAGGATTGTCTGAGCCCAGCAGGTCAACGCTAGGGTGGCCATGAGTGTGCCACTGCATTTCAGCCTGAGTGATGAAGTGAGACTCCAACTCAAAAAAAAATCAGAGCTGTGCACAGTAGCTCACACTTGTAAACCCAGTATTTTGGGAACCCAAGGCGGGAGGATTGCTTGGTGCCAGAAGTTCAAGATCAGCCCGGGTAACATAGCAAAACCTCCTTCTCTACAAATAAAATTTTTAAATTAGCCAGAAGTGGTGGCATATGCCTATAACCCTGGATAATGGGGAGGCTTGAGCCTAAGAGTCCAAGGCTGCAATGAGTCATAACTGCACCACTGCACTCCAGCCTGGGTAACACAGTGAGGCTCTGTCTCAAAAAAAAAAAGGAAAAATAAAGTGACTTAAATATAGTCCATAACTGCAAGAAACTATCATACTTGGCAAATACAAACTATGATTAAGCAAGTTGAGCATCCCAAATAAAAAAATCTGAAATATAAAATACTCCCAAATCCACAACTTTTTGAGCACTGACATGACAATCAAAGGAAACACTCACTAGAGTATTTTGGATTTTGGATTTTCAGATTAGTGATGCTCAACAGGTAAGAAAAATGTATATATTCCAAAATACAAAAAAATCAGAAATCCAAAACACTTTCAGTACCAAGAATTTCAGATAAGTGATACTCAAGCTATATCTGGAAATGAAAAGTGTATACATTTTTAATAAATCAATTTACTTATTTATTAAAGACGAGGTATCCCTCCATCACACAGGCTGGAGTGCAGTGTCATGATCATAGCTCACTGCAGTCTCAAATTCCTGGGCTCAAGTGATCCTCCTGCCTCAGCTTCCCAAGTAGCTGAGACTACAGGTGCCTGTCACCACACTTGACTAATTTTTTTTTTTTTGAGTTAGAGTGCAGTAGCATGCTCATGGCCACCCCAGCATCGACCTGCTGTGCACCAGCGATCCTTCCGTCTCAGCTTTCCAAGTAGCCGGAACTACAGGCGTGTTACCATGCATGGCAAATTTTTTTTATTTATTGTAAAGACGAGGTCTCGCCAAGTTGCCCAGGTTGGTCTTGAACCCACAGCCTCAGACAATCCACTCGCCTCGTCCTCCCAAAGTGCTGGGATTACAGGCTGAGACACTGAGCCTGGTGACTAATTTTTTTAAAAAATTCTTTGTAGAGATGGCGTCTCACTGTGTTACCCAAACGGTCCTCCTATCACAGCCTCCTAAAGTGCTGGGATTATAAACACAAGGCATCTGGCTTAAATATCTGTTTATATAGAAGATAACAACTAAGAAAAAGTAGAAAAGTACATTAATGCTCCAAATTAAAATAGGAAAATAAACTTCAATTATTCAATACAGTATTAAATTATTTTACTTGCATTATTCTTTAGAGTTATAATCTGTAATAGCCATAAAACAAACGCAACAAATATACTATAAACTAAAATGATAATTGAGCTTATAAATTTAAAAATCAGCCCAGACTTTTTAACTTAATTCTTACACAAAAATATCAAGTCACAGGCATGAAGAATCTTAAAGCCATAGTCAGGTGGTACTAATCATCCTGTTAGTCATTCCTAAGAATATTTTCTTCTACACCATCTTTTTTTCCACTGTATCTCTTTAAAATTATTGTTAAGTATTTATAAAGTACATTCACTCAGTGACCCACTGCCACACTATTTAAAAACATTAGACTTTTCCCACTTGGTTCTAAATACAGATGCTTCTCTAAAAGCAGAATGACATCTTAAAATGGCTCTCACCAGATATCTGGAATACATATATAGGAAATAGGCTTTCTTGCTATTGCAGCCATGCAGGAAATGTGCTGCCCGATCATACTCTTTAACATCAAAGTAGGCCTTGGCCAGGGTGTAAGCATCCATATCCTGAGCATCCTCCTAGAAAAGAGATAAGTTTATATAAGTGGTTGGGAACAGGACAACAAAAGTTCAAATTTTAAAAGAATATTTGGCCCAGTGGCTCATGCCTGTAATCCCAGCACTTTGGGAGGTCAGTCTCAAACACAGCAAGACCTCATCTGGACAACATAGAAAGACCTCATCTCTACAAAAAAATCAAAAAATTAGCTGGGCGTGGTGGTACACACCTGCAGTTCCAGCTAGTCAGGATGCTGAGGTAGAAGGACGGCCTAAGCCCAGGTTGAGGTTGCTGTGAGCTGTGATCAGTGGGATCATGCCAATGTACTGCAGCCTGGGTAACAGAGTATGACTCTGACTTCGGGAAAAAAAAAAAGCATATTCATTAACTCAAGATGTATGAAAAAAAAGATTATTATCCTTCTTCCCAAATCCTAACATGGTGCGCACGCGTGCGCACACACATTTTTTTTTTCTTTTTCTTAGTCGAGATCTCACTTTATCGCCCAGGCTAAAGTGCAGTGGCACATGATATATTTTTAAGTATTTATTTTATTACCAGGCAAGGCCATAGACTTTTTTTTCTTTTTTTTGAGTAGGAGTCTCACTCTGTCACCCAGGCTGGAGTGCAGTGGCACACTCACTGCCACCGCAGCCTCAACCTGCTGGGTTCAGGTGATCCTTCCGCTTCAGCCTTCCAAGTAGCTGGAACTACAGGCGTGCACCACCACACCCAGCTAATTTTTCTGATTTATTACAGAGATGAGGTCTCACCAAGTTTCCCAGGCTGATCTCAAACCCCTAGGCTCAGGCAATTCTCTCTCCTTGGTCAACCAAAGTGTTGGGATTACAGGCATGAGCCACCATGCAAAGCAAACTTTGTTTTCTAAAATATTTTTTTCAAAATAAAAAGTTGGAAAAAAAAAACTTGTATTTATTGTTAACACATTTTATATATATATATTTTCTTTTTCAGTTGGAGTCTCACTCTGTCACCCAGGCTGGAGGACAGTGGCACGCTCACGGCCACTGCAGCCTTGACCTGCTGGGCTTAGGTGATCCTTCTTTTTTTTTTTTTTTTTTTTCATTAATCAGTATTTTTTATTATGGTTTTGTGGGGTACAGTTAAGGGTTAGGTGTACAATGACGTTTCATTCAGGCACCCTGTAGATAAGAAGTGTTTTCCCATCCCCCGACAGATATTTGCTACTGTTAATCCCATCCCCCTCCCCCCC